CTCTGCCTTGAAAGTAGCATCAACTACATTCAACATGATCAGCTTGGTTGTTTTGGCTTCGGCAGTCATGTTTTCTTTTAATTGTGGATCATCCTCAAACCTTCCATTAGGAAAAGTAGAACTATTTAACCAATCAGGTCCGTTGAACCACAAGTCGCACTTTTCTAGTTTAGTTGGGGGTATCCCTCTCGTTCCACAATCAGCAGGATTCTCTAAACCGCTCCCAAAGTTCCAGTGCACGTTAGGAGTCAGCTCTTGAATTCGTGCTACTCGATTAGCTACGAACGGTTGCCATCTTCTTGGTTCGGACTTCAACCATGCCAGTGTGATCTTGGAATCAGACCATGCAAATGTCTCAGAGATTGGCACAGTTACTGTTGGCAAGGTAGCTTGTAACAAATTGGCCAGAAGTAAGGCAGAACAGAGTTCCAGTCGAGGTAGAGACTGTGGTTTTACTGGAGAGACACGTGTCTTGGAAGTTAGCAGTCTAGATGTCACGGCTTGGTTTGCATCTTTGGAACGAATGTATATAGCAGCACAGTAGGCCTTTTCTGAAGAATCACAGAATCCGTGTACTTGTACGTCGGTAGCCTGTGGAATGAGGATAAAGCGTGGAATCTTGATATTTGTAAGTAGAGGAAGCTGTTTCTGGAATACTCTCCATTGACTTGCCAGAGAGTCTGGTAGCTCCTCATCCCAGCCTAGATGATGACTCCAAAGCTCTTGGAGGAAGATTTTGGAAGTGATAACTGTAGGTGCCAACAAGCCCAAAGGGTCAAAGATTTTTGCGACTTCGGAAAGTACCTTGCGTTTAGTCCATACGTCGCTCTCATTGACGGTGATGGTAAAGGTGAAAGTGTCAACATCTGGAAGCCAAGCTATTCCCAGANGGAAAAGTAGAACTATTTAACCAATCAGGTCCGTTGATCAAGTCGCACTTTTCTAGTTTAGTTGGGGGTATCCCTCTCGTTCCACAATCAGCAGGAGTCTCCAAACCGCTCACAAAGTTCCAGTGCACGTTAGGAGTCAGCTCTTGAATTCGTGCTACTCGATTAGCTACGAACGGTTGCCATCTTTTTGGTTCGGACTTCGACCATGCCAGTGTGATCTTGGAATCAGACCATGCAAATGTCTCAGAGATTGGCACAGTTAGTGTTGGCAAAGTAGCTTGTAACAAATTGGCCAGAAGTAAGGCAGAACAGAGTTCCAGTCGAGGTAGAGACTGTGGTTTTACTGGAGAGACACGTGTCTTGGAAGTTAGCAGTCTAGATGTCACGGCTTGGTTTGCATCTTTGGAACGAATGTATATAGCAGCACAGTAGGCCTTTTCTGAAGAATCACAGAATCCGTGTACTTGTACGTCGGTAGCCTGTGGAATGAGGATATAGCGTGGAATCTTGATATTTGTAAGTAGAGGAAGCTGTTTCTGGAATACTCTCCATTGACTTGCCAGAGAGTCTGGTAGCTCCTCATCCCAGCCTAGATGATGACTCCAAAGCTCTTGGAGGAAGATTTTGGAAGTGATAACTGTAGGTGCAAACCAGCCCAAGGGGTCAAAGATTTTGGCGACTTCGGAAAGTACCTTGCGTTTAGTCCATACGTCGCTCTCATTGACGGTGATGGTAAAGGTGAACGTGTCAACATCTGGAAGCCAAGCTATTCCCAGAATTTTGACCAGTTGGTCGTCGTTGATCATGTGTTTGGAATCAACAGTCTTTAACTCTTCCGAAATGGTTGCTAGTACGTCAGGATCATTTGACACCCATTTTCGTAGAGAAAATCCTCCTCTCTTCATCATCTCCTGTAGTTCGGACACCAGTTGAATGGCTCCCTCCTTTGTTGCACTACCGCTCAGCAAATCATCAACGTAAAAATGACGAAGGGTGGCTCTTGAAGCGTTTGGATAATTTTCTTGTTCGTCTATGGCAAGCTGTCGTAAGGTTCTCGTGGAGAGGAATGGTGCTGAGGACGTACCATACGTAACGGTAATTAGACGATATTCCTTTATTTGTTCGGTTGGAGAATCTCTCCAAAGAATTCTTTGCCAGTCTACGTCTTCCTCGTGAACTTTAATCTGGCGGAACATCTTTTCAACATCAGCGCAAATGGCCACAATGAAAAGTCGAAACTGGATGAGAATAGGGAAAAGTTCTGGTTGCACTCTTGGACCAACCAGGAGCAGATCGTTGAGAGAGAGTCCGGATGAAGTTTTACAGGAAGCATCAAAAACTACACGAAGCTTTGTTGTGCAGCTAGTGTCTCTGACAACTCCATGGTGAGGAAGGTATAAACTTCTGATTTTATTAATGTCATAGTCCGGAACCAGTTCCGTGTGATTTAAATCAAGGTATTCCTTCATAAATTTTCGATAGAGGTTGTATTTCTCAGGATTAGAAATGAGATGACGTTCCACGCTGATTAGCCTACGAATTGCATTTTGTTTTGAATTACCTAACCGCGTGGGAGAAGTGTGAAAAGGCAGCCTTACTGTGTATCTACCATTCTCATCCCTTGAATGTGTCTTTACGAAATGATCTTCACAAGCCTCTTCTAAAGAAGTTAAGGGTTTGACGCATTGTACAGAATCTAATTCCCAGAATTTATTGATTAGAAGATCCGATTGTAACTGAATATGATTGACATGTAGAGAATTTTGACCACCAGAATTTGCCTTACCACCAATTATCCAACCCAGTTCTGAACGAATGGCAAATGGCTTATCCTTCCCTAACGATAATGTTTGACCCTTTAGCAATGGCAAAGTAAGGTCAACACCAAGGAGTACATCAATCGGAGCACTCTTGTAAAATGCTGGATCAGCCAGAGAAATATCACCAAATAATTCGCGCATTGAGGAATCTAAGTCGTGATGTGGAATCATACCTACAATTTTGTTAATCACATAGACTGATGCATGAAAAGAATTTTGAGATGAAAAATGTGAGGTGAATTGAATCTCAGCAACCCCATTTGTACGCGTATTGGATGCTCCCAAGCACGAAATGCGACTCACCTGAATCAGAGCAGTGCAGAGGAGGGTTTGAACGTCTGGCCCCACACCCGAAATACACGATGTAACATCTACCACTCTAGAATTATCACTTAATTGACTAGTACTTGGAATAAGGGCAGGCGAAAACGCAGGAGCGTTGATAGAAAGTTCACTAGAATTTGACTTATTTATAGCACTCTGTCTTCCCCTATCGCTAACATTTTCGATATGAAGTAAAGAGTGGTGGGGTTTTTTGCACCTTTTACATCTAAACTTGCTGTTGCAAGTTTTCACACTGTGAAATCGAGTTAAACAGTTAAAACAAACATTATTCGATTTAACGAAATCTAAACGGCCTTGAACTGATAATTTTAAGAACGTATCACATTTCGACAATGTATGATCTCCATTACATAGAGGACATTGTGACTGGGCGTTGGACGCGACCAAAGTCACCTTTCCTTGAATGTTTCTCTTAGTAGTTGAACTCGGGATAGATCTAGCTTGTGTTGCAAGGAATTGCAACAGTTCGTCCAACTTCGGAATGACATCAGTTTGAAAGGTTCTCTCGAACCAAGTTCTTGAATTTGCATCAAGCTTGAACAATATCATGTGCATTAAAAGAGTATCTGTAGTTGGATCAACCTTGTATTCCAAGGACTTCAACATTCTTACGAATTCCTTAGGGGAATCTATCAAATTCAAAATTTGTGTGGATGATTCTCCACTCAAGGGCGTTATATTGATAAACTTTTTCATTAAGGAGGACATAATTTCTCTTTTGTTAAAGTATCTATCTTTTAGCAATTTCCAAGCGATTTCGAAATTATCATTGGTAATGGATAAAGAGTTCACGATTTTTAAAGCATCTGATTTTAAACTCCCCTTTAAATATTTCAAATTTTGATTGTTCGAGACTGCAGCTTCAAAAAGATCGGAAAAGGCAAGCCACTCATTTGCACCAGAAAATTAGGTAAAGATAACGTAGGAAGTTTCACTTCAGCAGACTGAGATGAGACAGAAGCTTGGTCTGAACTTTGGTTTTTAACCTCAAAACTGGAATTCACTACGGTACTGACTCTAACGCATCTAAAATGTCGTCCTTTTCCGTAGAATAAGTTTCCTCATCCTTTTCCTCGCAAATACTTATAATAGAATCTAATATCTCTTTCGCCTCAGTTCTAAATTCCAAAAATCTATTTTTTCGAGCCAATAAACCCGCATTGTTTAAATTCCCAATTTCATCTTCTGTTTTCTTTTGCAATTTAGCAATCGATGATTTAATACTCTTTTTTTTCTTTAACAAGNCGTCCAACTTTGGAATGACATCAGTTTGAAAGGTTCTCACAAACCAAGTTCTTGAATTTGCATCAAGCTTGAACAATATCATGTGCATTAAAATGGTATCTGTAGTTGGATCAACCTTGTATTCCAGGGACTCTAACATTCTTACGAATTCCTTAGTGGAATCTATCAAATTTAAAATTTGTGTGGATGATTCTCCACTCAAGGGCGTTATATTGATGAACTTTTTCATTAAGGAGGACATAATTTCTCTTTTGTTAAAGTATCTATCTTTTAGCAATTTCCAAGCGATTTCGAAATTATCATTGGTAATGGATAAAGAGTTTACGATTTTTAAGGCATCTGATTTTAAACTCCCCTTTAAATATTGCAATTTTTGCGCTCCCGTCAAATTTTGATTGTTCGAAACTGCAGCTTCAAAAAGATCGGAAAAAGGCAAGCCACTCCTCATTTGCACCAGAAAATGTAGGTAAAGATAACGTAGGAAGTTTCACTTCAGCAAACTGAGATGAGGCAGAAGCCTGGCCTGAACTTTGGTTTTTAACCTCAAAACTAGAATTCACTACGGGAGGCAAAAGCCGGGTGTCGATATCGACAAGTACTGACTCTAACGCATCTAAAATGTCGTCCTTTTTCGTAGAATAAGTTTCCTCATCCTTTTCCTCGCAAATACTTATAATAGAATCTAAAATATCTTTTGCCTCAGTTCTAAATTCCAAAAATCTATTTTTCCGAGCCAATAAACCCGCATTGTTTAAATTCCCAATTTCCACTTCTGTTTTCTTTTGCAATTTAGTAATCGATGATTTAATACTCTTTTTTTTCTTTAGCAAGGCTTCCATATCCATTAGAATATATTAGAATAANTCCATTAGAATATATCAGAATAAGAAAAATAATTTATTGCATCAAAAACCACAGAACAGAGCTGTTTACAAAAGTCTAACTGTCTAGCCCAAACAAAAATGATTCCACTGACGCCTGTGAACGTGAACGGGGGAGAATGCGAAATTGCAAAAAGAATTACAGCGGTATAAAACGAAAAGAGAACAATAACAAAAGGGAAGGGTAAAACGAAACTTTTTGTAAATATATTACAGGAATGACAATGGCATAATACATCAGTAATTTAGCACATAAGTAATTAATCAATCAAATAAGTAAATAAGCACATTTAAGCAGATTAAACCCTTTTGAATACACTTGAATTTGAAATATTACACAACGAACATTTCTTTCGTTTTAAGCTTAGCATATATGAATAAAATTCGAATGTTACTTTTTTATTGAATTATGACAATATTTTAGAAAAAATATTTGCCGAAACAACAACAAGCCAGGAATTTTGAATTAGAATATTTCAGCTGGGTTCCGGCGAGACTTGGCCAAATGATTTAGCAATTAGCGGGAAAAAGATGTTTCATAAATTTTTACCTGACTCGGTTGTTGTATGGACTTGGAACTATAAAATTGAAGGTGGAACGTTTAGATATCTCACAATTCAGTTAGAATTTGCCACAATTTACTGGAATCGGAGATGAACTTAGAATATTGAATTATACATCGAAAACATTGAAACACTCCACACACAGGAATTGATACACATACACTATTTATTTTCTCAAGCTCAAAGAATAATTAATTAGGATGCGCAAAGCGCCATCTGTGGACTGTAGTATTAAACAGTTATTATTAAACTAAAAAACAGTTCTGTTTCATCAACAAAAAATTTCATCTGATTATTTTCTTCATCAGCGTCGCCGCCATTTTTATTTACCTTTGTATATGTCATCCCACAAAATTGAAATTTCATAAAAAGCAAATGATTTGAATTGTTCAAGTGTTAACGGAGAGAAAAAAATTGCCTGAGCAGTTGCTAATATTTCGGGCATCCGTGATTTCTATATCGCATGAGGATTTTCGAGCATTTTTTGGAGAAAGTGGAGGATAGCGATTGACTTGCCAGTTTCATTGCCGATAATTGTCATCGTGTGATCTAACCTAATATGAATTTTGCTGCTTTTCTAAGCTGAAAACTTTTTAAGGAAATAAATTGGTTACATATTCTTATTTATATAAAATAATCATGTTTGAAAATT